AGATGCAAAATTAATTATGCTGTGCACGTATGCAAAATATACAGACTTAATAGCAAAAATCGACCTAAAATTTTTGCAAACTCTGACGATGAAACCAAGCATTTTGTTGCTTTTTAAAGTTATATAATCAATATGTGAAGAAAAACTCAATTTCCTGTCAAATACAACCCCAAGATCTTTTATTTCTTCAACTTGATTTAAAATATTCTTATTAAAGTTATAATTATTAGAGTATATATTTTGGTTACGGGTAAAACAAATATAGAAGCATTTACTTAAATTTAATTGAAGCTTGTTCGATTTACAGTATTCAAAGAAAGAGTTTAAATCTTCCTGGTAGGCAATACAATTATCGGAATTATTTATTTGAGAGTAAATTTTCAAATCGTCTGCGTAGAGTAAAAATTTACAAAATTTGAAACAATAACGGATATCGTTGATATAGATTAAAAATAGTAAAGGTCCCAAATGTGATCCCTGACATTGCAACGTAGGGGGGAGATTTGTAACCACTAATAGTTGCCAATTGCGACCTGTTGAAGACATAAGAGGTAAGGCATCGCAGTAGGTTACCATGTACACCAATTTCAGACAATTTAGATATAAGAATATTATGATTAATTTTATCGAATGCTTTGCTAAAATCGGTATACACGGCATCCACCCGAGTCTGGCTATCCATAGCACTTATAATATATTGGGAGTTGGAAAATTGTTGAAACTTTTATTACGTTTTCTATTTATCAATGCACAATTTGCTATCTGTGAAACGACTTCTGTAGAAATTTTCACATTGACAGAGCAGTTTTATATGTGTCATTGGCATTAATAGATAGCAGCGTTATTTAAAACACCTAGTATTGAACCAAATTTAAATATGTAATTCTTTATTTTTAGTGTACAATTTTCTCGAGTGACTATCTACTTCAAGGAGTCACAGTTCATACCGTCTGAGAAAAATGAACTAATTGGTGTTGCAGACTTTTTAGCTAACTGCGGTGGAATTATTGGTCTGTTTATTGGTTTCTCTTTTCTCTCTTTGATAGAGTTGATTTATTTCTTATCGCTAAGACTCGTATGTAACCTCAAGATGTACGGGAAACGTCATTGGTCTGGTTCTTCCACATGCGATAGTAACAGAGCAATATATTAACATATGTATCTCATAGAAAGTAATTTATACGCGATAGAGACTTTTTTAGTTTAGAACACATTAAGATATAGAAGTGCAGAAAGTTCAAATTAGGAAGATTTAGCTTTTACAATATTTTAAGTTTAAGGTAATTGCATTAATGACAATTAGTCTAGGATATGTTGCCCAAGCAAATATATTGCGATTTAGCCGAACTTACCTTAGTCCAAAAGTTGATAGTTAAAGAGATACAGGGTGTTAAATGTAAAATATTATTTCAGTTTTTTTTTCATTTATTCCTTAACAAATGCAAATATCTTCACAAAATTTTGGGATTTGGAGTTCTTTGGGTAGAGGAATTGAAATCTGTTCACATTTTGGTTAAAGTTCATAGAGGGCGCTAGCTGCAGTAGATTGAATGTATTAAAAACGACATAACTCTTTTGTACTTTAAGGTATCTCATCTTTGGTAACAAATTCTTATTTTTCAACTTTTTTTACACAAAAAAGGTATACTTTATTAAAGTAGCTATCTCGCACCGTTTTCGAGATATTTGGCTTTGAAACTTCCAATGCTGTTGCATTAAATTACAATTAAGTACCTACAGGTATTATTAATTTAGCGGTAAAGTTTCTTAAGTAGGATTTGGACGAAAATCAAATAATTGACGTCTTCCACTTGTCTTATTGCTGTCATTTGTATGCTAATTTCTATTAAGTATTATTCGTATCTAATTAAAATTACATCTTAGCTTACAAATTAAATTGTATACTCGTATACATAAATGTGAGATAGAATGCCGAGGTTTTCGTTTTTGGAGTTACATGAAATCAGTTGTTTATGGAGAAACTATAAACACTTGAGAAGAACTTTAGTAGCAGGTTTTAAATGCTGCAAAGTCATTTCGCATTAAGGATTTATACTTTAAAATAAGACAATCTTTTAATAAACGTGTTGATAAATGTATTGAAGTTAGAGGTGGACATTTTGAGCAATTATTGTCAAAAAGGCATATTTTTTACTAATGTTTACTATTTTACTGTTCATTACAATTTTTAATTCTAAATAAACCCTTGTTTTTGACATTTCTAAATTATTTTAATTATTTCAACTACTAGCATTGGAAGTTGCAAAGCCAAATATCTCGGAAACGGTGCGAGACAGCTACTTTCATAAAGTTTACATTTTTTGTGTAAAAAAAAGTTGGAAAATAAGAATTTGATACCAAAGATGAGATACCTTAAAGTACAAAAAAGTTATGTCGTTTTCAACACATTCAATTCAAAGGGGCAGCTGGCGCCTTCTATGAAGTATAACCAAAATATGAACAAGTTTCAATTCCTCTACCCAAAAAACCCCAAACCCCAAAATTTTGTGTAGATATTTGAATTTATTAAGAAATAAATGAAAAGAATCTAAAATAATATTTTACATATAACACCCTGTATCTCTTTAACTACCAACTATTTAAGTTCGGCTAAATCGCAATATTTTTGCTTCGGAAATCTTCCCATGAATTTTGGCCCATTACCTCGGGACCACCCTGTAAAAAGTGGATCCTAACCGCTCGGAAGCAACGGTAAGTTAAAGCAAACTTTTTTAAAAACCGGGAAAAATAGTGGCAGACTTTATGGCGGTTTCGAAGGGGGGTGGGGTTGAAGAAAACCGGAAAAAGAGTGGTTCCTAACCGGATCTACTCAAGTGCGATTTTCTAGTTACAACATGCACTTTTATGGAAAAATAGTGGCAGACACCGCATACTAGCAGGATGACGGTAATTTGAAATCCAGCGTGAGAGAATTTCTCATAAAACTCGAAAACTGGTGTAAAACAGTATAAAATAAGTAAAAACTAAAAAAAAATCTACCGCTTGCCAAATAAGTTCCATAACGACCGCACAAACGTTAGATATTGCTGGCAGATTTCCCAGACCTCTCTTCCCCACTGTCAATGTCAATGTTTGTCAATGTACCTAATGCACGCCCACTAGCAAATTCTAGACTAAACGCGCCATATCCTAGACTAAATTAGGAAATTAATAAAATAGCAATTTATAATATATTTGGTGTTTTTAATTACATTTGAAGCTATATACATAAATAAATACCTATTTAAAAAAAGTATAAACTTAGGAATCGCTCTGTACAATTACGATTGCGTGACATCACGATGTTCTTTCAACAAACGTCACTTTGAGCAATGACAATACAGGAAGATATTTCAATTAATGTATTAAAAAAAAATATATTCATGATTTTAATGTTACAAGAGACCTTTGTATGTTGTATGTAATTATTTACTTGTGGTATTTCCAGTCTTTTCATTTAATTGGGTATTTCTGTCGAACAGAAAATAAACTTTTTTAAATGGGTAACCCTTTGTACCGAAAGGATCAGTCAATTAGTTTATTTTATAAATTTAGTTTTGTCTAACCGGAAATATCTTACTGACAATGTGAATAATTCTTGACAACTAGATAATAATCACTGCAACACATTACATATTCAACGTTTCGAAAAACTTAGGGATAATATAAAATATCACATAATATTTATTCTGTTGACTCTTGTCTTTGACAATATTCAATCAACACTATTAAAATTTAATGAATTATTTGAAATGCATATATTATCATCAAAATAAAAGCAGGATTTTTTAATTTTAATTTTATCGTATTACATTTTTACACCAATTGTATTATTTTTCTAATTAATCAACATTTCTGGTTAGGCAAAACTAAATTTATAACATCAACCACGTGACTGATCCTTTAGTACAAAGAGCCTATTTGCTTAAAAATATTTTTTTGCAGTGTAACAGAAATACCTACCTAGTTGAATAAAAAGAGAACTTTGCATGTTTTTATATCACATTTTTTCATTCCACACTGTGTTATATATTTTCTAGAAATGTAATAAATAAACCAATATATGTGTTTCTTGTCAATTTTATATTTTTCTTTTTCTTTTAGTGAAACTTAATTCGTATAGTTTGTTGATTAGCATTATATAGAGGCAAAGAGGTCCCTCAAGGCTCCGAACAAAAAATTATTGTCTAAGAAATATTCGTGCCGAGAATTATATATTTTTTTTATGTGCGAGTTGTATGTTTTTATTATTAAAATAAGAATGATCTTACTTTAAAAATATATATTATATATATATACCAGAATAATACAAGGTTCCAGAATACATTTCATGCACCGTTTTGTAAATATGTTGTAACATATGACTCATCTATTTATTTGGGTTTAAAAATGTTTACACTCAAATAAGTCCATAAAAAGTAAGTGCAGGGCGATTTTTGAGTTTAATACATTTTAACCTGTATTCTACTATTAAAATAAGCATTTTTCGTATTTCTTTTTTGAAAATTCCCTAATTGCGTCAGAAAAGTAAGTTAATGTGTCAAATGTTTATTGAAGAATTTAAAAATTATGTCCTAAACGAAACTTAAAGAATCTGAGCAAAACTGTCACCATCTGTAAAACGTCACCACTGTTCTTTAACGGCGCCGGCGCCCAACAATGAAAGCGAATTTCCTCATATTGTCCTGATAATCAGTTCCTGTCGTGTATTTAATGCTTGAAATAATAAATTCTTCATGAATCCTTCCCCGAAAAATAATCACAAGGATTAAGGTCCGGTGACCTCGGTGGCTACGGAACTGGTCATTGTAACCAATACACTTATCGGCTAAAAGGATCAGGTGTCCCATCTCATCTCGTCTAATAGAGCAGAGTAGAAAATTCCAATACAAAACGCCCATTAAATGATCTGGAAAAATGTGTGAACCAATGAGTACCCCATTCACAATTCCCATCCACATGATTATGGAAAATCTTATCCAGAAATAGGTTCTTTATAAGGATGAGGACTTTCTCCAGCCCAAACATAGACATTTTGTGATTTCATTTTCGGTAAACATTACCTCGCCCAAACAAGTGGCGTGTTTTAATGAGTTCAATGAGTTAACGGTTAAAATTATATAATTTATTGAAAAATAATTATCAAACTAAACCAAAATTGCAAAATGTAAAACAAAACTAAAACAAAATGTACAAAAAAAAATAAATTTGAGTAAAACTACTTGTCAAAAATTTATATCTGCTGGATCAAATTTTAAAATAAAATTGTTTGCTTACTACGTGTAATGGAGAAAAAGTTTTTATGTTACTTAGAAGTAGGCATCTGTTTATGTTGAAAAAAAATATATAGAAATATTTGTATTTCATCTTTAAAAAAAAATTCTCTTATGTTCAATATAAAACACGGAATAAATGCTTTTATAGAATGTTCAATATTAATGAATCATGTGTAGGATGAGGTAATTATTTTTTCGTTAAAATGAAATTAGCAGTACAAGTTGAATTCCCTTGACAGAGGGTGGGTTTATTTGTCGTCAGCATGCTTGTTATTAATGTCAGTAATCTAAAAAGCGGGCGTACATGTATGAAACTATGTGGGAATAATAAAAAAATTGTCGCTTAAGGTCCACCTCTTTTCATTCATTCAAAATCCAGCGACCAGTGAGTGGAAAACCTTACTACCTCGTAAAATGTAAGTACTACTTTTTATATAGTTAAAATATATTTTGCAACATAACGTATGCAATTTTTTATTTTCGTGCACAGATATAGTATAACCTATTCAATTTGTTTTTAAGTCCCTTATTTCAGAACATCCTTCGATAATCCGAACATTAGAACAAATTCAGGTGAAATCAGGAGTGGTCTTAAGAAAAAGCACAAATATTTTAAGAAAATTGATATACACAATTGCATTATTAATAAACAGGGTCTAATTAGAATAACCGACAGACTTTATTGACGGATTTTGCGTCACAAATTAATAAAAAAAAATTCCTATAGATCCTTTGTCTTCGATATACAGGGTGTTCAAATTTAATGAAATTTGAAAATTTATTTCAAGCCAGAAAAACAGTTGAAGGAAGGATGTTTATGTGTAGATAATCTAATTGCTATTTCAAAAATAATTTGATGACACTGGTAACAATGGTTATTATCTATCATGGTATGACATTTTACCATTAATCTCGAAAACGGTGCATCAAAGCTACATATAACAAGAACACATTTTTGTAAATATCAGCAAAACTAAATTTCTCCTTAAAAAATGGACATGTAGATTTTCGGATAATTCGAAATTTAAGTTGCACACCAAATTTCAGGGATTTCTGTAATTTAAAAAAAAAAATCAAAACTTTTTCAAAATCATTAACCTGTATATACAGGGTGTTTGTAAATAAGTGCGAAATATTTTAGAGGGTGGTTGCCGAAGTTATTTTGCGAAGAAAAGTTCATATGAACGTAGGTCGAAATATGCTTCGTTTCCGAGATACAGAGTGTTTAAATTTATTTTATTTTATTTTTTATTTATTTTTATTAATTATTTCAGAGTATTAAAAATATTGATACGAAATTTGAAAAACACTGAAGGGATAAATGTACATTTTTTAGGATGATCCGAATATGTCTACTTGCACCAGTGGCGTTCGTGCGAGAATGCCACAACCTTTTTAATAAAAAAAAATGGTACACCACTGACTTTTCCCAGTTTTGGTATTTCCTTTAGAAATGCGACATCAATTCTGAATAAAATTGGTCTCTTCATTTTTTTTTCGTAGGATGCGCCGTTTTTGAGGAAAAATAAAACATATTTTAGTGCAAGTTGTGTATTTTTAATTTCCATTGATACATTATCTAGTAGGTTGCTGTCAATATTTCTAAATAAAATATAACCATCAAATAAATAAAAAATTAAAATTTAAACACCCTGTATCTTAGAAACGATTTGAACTTTTTTCCACAAAATAACGTCGCTATTTCGCACTTATTTACAAACACCCTGTATAAAATAAAACGTTTCCGGGCAAACTTTTTTCGTTAATTTGTAAATTAGAATCCGTAGAAGTTTGGTTATTATTTTCACCTTCGATACAAGATGTTCTAAAATAAGTGCGAAAATAAAAAACTAACGTCATCTGGTGCAGATCTATTATCCTATTCGCTTCCACATTTGATTAAAGTCAGTGCACGTAGCTTTATTCATTGTCGATATATTTTTCTCACTAAAAATAACCTTTGACACGAACTGATAACTTTTGTTTTGGTGAACATCTTAACAATTAGTTTCGATTAAAAAGGTTTCATTATAATTATAAAATCCACTACTATATACAACTAAATTATTTTCATGAAAATTATAGCACTGTTAAAAAATGCAGAGAACAATAAGTAACGATGAAAAAATGGAGGAAGTTCCAGATAAATTAAAAAATAGGAAAACCAAACCAAAGAGAAAATATCCAGGATTCCGGCAAAATTTGTACGATTATATACAAGAATTTACTGATTATACTGGCATACATGGATTTAAATATATGGGAGAACAGGACAGAACGATTTTCGAAAAGTAAGTTAACAGATTTTTTTATCCACCTTATTTATTTTATTTACTTACGCTAACTTACAATACTACACTTTTTTCTTAAGAATTTCCGAAAGGGTAATTTGAATTTTAGAATAGTTAGTCCTCATTAAAAAAAAAGTAAATTGTTAGATGTATTTTAGAATATGCACTTGTATATATTTCAGAAGAAATATTTCAGCCCTTACGTTTTCGAGACCCAGAAACTGATTCTATCATAGAAAAGGTTCCATTACCATCCAACATTCTCTTAAATTGTCAAAAACCTAAAAAGCAACCAAAACTACATTCCATAGATTTCTATTTGGACGTAGTCTTGGAAATGACTCGACGCGTCATATTGGGATTGTTCCATATTTTACGTATCCAAAAACATTATCAACCTTTTCAACTCTTAAGCTTCGGGTGAACTCCAGAAAACCACACTTAAAATTAGATACAATTCCACATTCGGTGAATTTAAGCCACAAACTACAGTGCACACTATCAAGACCCGCGCACTCTATACAGCAGACAAGTGAATGATGCGTGTTCAATTAATAAATTCCTAACCCACATACATTGCGCGCGTATTATCTAGTCACCTAGTACCGTAGGCATATCTTAGACATACTCGGATAAAATCAGTTCTATAACCTGCAGTTTCTGATGGATGTCAGCAACCCCCAACATCCTGAAGCCCCAGAATCTCCTACAACTTTAGTGTGTTTCTCTTTGGATGTAGCCCTGCAAAAGAGTTTATCGGGAATCACGTCTGAAGTCCCTGAAGAATAAGTCGAGAAAGACTATAAGAACAGAGAAAATCTGCACCTGAACGCTAAAACAAATCAATACATTTGAGTAAAGGAACATTTACGGAAGAAATTTCCTAACATACTTAAGTGAAGCTCAATGGAAGAAGGAATAAAGTTTTCGTATGAATATTGTTGAACACCAAACATGCTTTAAAAATGTTAGTAAAAATTTGTTGGGGAATCATAGAAATGAAGATCACGAATACAAGATGAATAAAAAGGTTGTACGCGGGAGCGCAAATGGCTCCATCTGTCGTGCGGACTCCCAACTGTGCCATTCAAATGGCTACAGTAGGAAGCCATTGCTATATTGCAGGTACTTTGTTGCACGACTGCCACCCACAGAGGGCGTAGCACAATGTTTGAATTGTCAGTGTTACGACAAACAACTACTCCGAGAGCTATATGCCCCTGGCGGCATTGAAGTTTAACCCACCAGGCACAGACCGGTTTAGGACTTATTAGTCCTCATCAGTGTGTCATAGATGCGACAACGCGAGTATAATTCAATGCCTGTAGGGACATATAGCTCTCGGAGTAGTTGTTTCTCGTAACACTGACAATTCAAACATTGTGTTACGCCCTCTGTGGGTAGCAGTCGTGCAACAAAGTGCCTGCAGTACTTCCGCACGACAGATGGAGCCATTTGTGCTCCCGCGTACTATGTATTTCTTTGTCGTGACGATACGACGAAGAACAGCTGGGTCGTTTGTCGACCACTGATGAGGGCTAATAAGTCCGAAACCGGTCTGTGCCTGGTGGGTTAAACTGAGAAACGATCCTAGCTGTTGCACTAGGTGTTGCGAGTATAATTCAATGCCGGTAGGGGCATATAGCTCTCGGAGTAGTTGTTTCTCGTAACACTGACAATTTGAATAAAAAGGTTGACAATTTAAAAAACCCCTCGAAGATTAAAGAAACCCATAAAAAAGGAAAATCGAAATCCACTAGATTGTTTCGCTGTAACTTTTAGGTGTAGTTTTGTAACTGAGTCGACTTTCTCGACTCATTCAAAACTGCTTCAAAGATATCAGGTACGCTATTTGTGTAGATGGACTTTTTGCAAGAGCGCATCCAATAAGGAACCCATTAAATGTAAAGTTGCAGCAAATTTTAGGGCTTCGGGGTATACGGAGATACTAATATACCTCAATTGCAGTGTTACAGGACTGATTTTATCTTCGTATGTTTAGGATACACCTGCTGTATTGGATGAATGGGTTGTACTGTGTGCAGTGTCTGTGGGTTAGGAAATAAGGTTCATTGTCTATTAAATAAGCTAACTTCACTCATTTGTGTAGTATGTGAGATGAGTAGATTTCACTGATCCCGGGTTCTAAAAATCTTAGCTGACATATAGGTTTAGGGTTGGTTTTTTTGGTGTTCATCAGAAGCTGAAACAAGGGTTCATAAGTCTTTGGATACCCAAAAAATCTGCGAATATGATGCCTCGATTCATTTCCACGGCCGTATTCAAGGAGAAATGTACTCGATGCAGAGTTTTGGCTGCTTCTTAGGTTTTAGGTTGATTTTTAACTATTAAAAAAAACTGCCAGATTCAGTTTCCAGGGGTCCAAACACATAGATATCATCCGTAGAACGGACAACCCTTTTTGTATGTCTGTATTAAAGGATATTCGATGTTGTATAACTTTCTCAGGTTATGGTGGATCGTCCTGTTCTCCATATCCCTTTGGATATGTATAAGTCTCATTATCGATACCTGGAAAAAATGGGACACATCTCCGGTGTTAGTAAGTTTTGCCGAAGGTCAGATACCCGTATGGCAGATTCCATTCCCAGCAGTAACAATCTGTCCAGAAACCAAAACTAAGCAAACTATATACAATTTCACAGATGCATTCGGCAGATACCAGTATGAAGGCAATCTGACAGAAGAAGAGTAAGTACTGAAAATTAGTAGTAAAACTCATACCGATAATTGAATGGACTCCAACCAGTGCGGTGACAATGAAAATCATAATTTTAATGTGGGAAAAACTGGGGAAAATCATTGAAAAACTTCATGATTTACCTGAATATCCGGGCTAGCACAGAACCTTCATAAATGATTACAAGCCATGTGAGAAGTACCTAATTCTGTTTGGAACAGTAGTTCTGTTTCCTTCACTGTAGCAATTAAATTTCGATTAAGTTAAAACGATAAAATCAAGATTGCCATGAAACACAACATTCTGTTTCACCGGCTGGTGATTGGTATTATTTGTCACGAGATTTTTAAGCGATCGCATTATCCGATAGTGAAAATAACGATTTGTCATTGTTCATTGTAAACGAATCATTAATATTGCTGACGTTAGGGATTTTCTGTTCGCGGTAGCAGCCGAGCAATGTTGTTTGCCTTAGCTCAGCGGTCACGTGGCTTGTAAACATTTATGAAGGCCCTGTATTCGTTGAATTTCTCAACAGAGGGTACTTTTTTTATTTTTTTTCTATGATTAGTTATTACCTATGGCAAATTAAATTCTGATCTGCTCAGTCACTTTTACATTCTCGAATTTCTCATTTCTACTCGCTCCCCTCTCAAGAAAACTTTCCATTTTTGAATACAAAATTGGTATTTCGCAACATTAAAAACATAAGTGTTATTAGCTATTCTGCTACTATTAAATAATTGCTTTAATTTTTAGACTAAGGCATCTTTCCGACACCACTCTAATTTGTGATAATCATATTTACAACGACGGTAATGAAACTATTGGACTGGACACGATCGATTATCTAATGAGCGTGAGTTATTTCCTATTAAGTTATCCTAAATGTATTCACTTTAAACGAACCACATTGTTGATTCAGGGTGTAACCTTAATTAATTGTCTGAATTAATGACCCATTGCCTCAGTCTCCCTTGATAATATTTACATTTGTAACTGAAAAATGACTATCAAATTAACAAAGTTGATATTTCTTAACACAAAAAAAATAATTGCCCTTAATTCAACATTTGTATTAATATTTTCCCCAAAAACCAGGTTAAGTCCATTTTGTAGAAATTTCAATAAATAATGAGAACCCGATTTAGTTAAAATAATTAAAATACTAGTTTGGTTTGGTTTCATTTAGTTTTGACTAAATATTAATTACATAGATATAAAATAAGTCTCAGAGAATCACCGATTAATTCTCTTCACAAAATATTTTTGATAATTTTGATTATCTTGAAGTAAACTTTCTACTACTCGCAACATTTACTTAGTATAAGTGAGACATAGCACAGTGCTACATCTATGAATGACCACTGCTGTACAATGCTTACATACGGTCACAGTAGCAGACAGCGACCTGCAATTTTGCGGGTACTATAATATCACGATATCTCTCGCAAACTACAGCTCGACCAAACTCATCTTGTCCGAGGGATACGAAGACCAAGAAGAGAGTCTGTAGTAGGAATGACAAAGACAGAAGACCTTAACAGTATGGCACAGACATTTTGTGTTTTGTTGAAATGTTTTGCATGCCTATATTCACCGTTCGACGTTCAGAAAGAGAATGAGCTCTTGGTCAAGCTGTAGACGAAGAGATGATTAACTAATGACATTGTGGGACACAACTATTCTGCGAATTACACGCCCTGACCAGCTAGCCTAACCCCAAGACATGCCTCACTCTTCAGTATGGCAACACTGGCACACATGGTGTCTCATCAGTTAGCAATCAGTTCGCGAGTTGGCTAGAGACGTCGTGCTCTCGTAGTACCTGCGAAACGCAGGTCACTCTTTGCCAATATAGCCATACTGAAGGCCAAGGTTTTTAGTTGCAATAACCATACATAGATGTAACGCTTTCGCGTATGCTCACTCTATGTCTGTATGTTAAGATATTAAATATATGTACCTGAATCATTCGTATGGTATGTCACCTACGGCATATGGCTGATGAGGGCTAATTAGTCTGAAACCAGTATACGTCTCGTGGGTCTGGTCACTTTATAATGCCGATATAATTCAGTGCTGAGTTGTTGTTTCCCTCAATATCTTCAATTAAAAATCATTTAGTTAGTTTTACAAAACATTGTTTCTAAAAAGTTGCTCCTGAAATCGCTTTATAGTGGCCAAGCTTATAATCATATTTTGATTTACATCGATAACTAGAAACACTGTTTCTTGTGAAAGACTATTAATAATGGCATCAGAATTACTGCTAGTGTTAATTGTTTATTGACTTTAATTTATGCTTACACTAGCACATCCGCGATATTATAAACTGTATCATGCTTTGGAAAAGCCGATTTTGATACATCGAGGACAAGCCATATTTTTGCATAGTCTACAATTACTCTAATTTTAATTGATGCATAACAATATTTTTCCTAGATGTGGATTAACAGAATGTTAAAAGGAAATAAACATACATTTCAGATTGCTCCCCAATTTGACGATGTTTTCTTCGGTTGCAAGTGGACTTTATTAAATGAAAGCTGCTATAATCTATTCACACCCTCCATGACAGAAGATGGACTATGTTTTACGTTCAATGTGTTAGATAGAAGCGATATATTTAGAAAGAACGTGTAAGTAATGTTTAATCATTATCTGTTCTTCAGTATGCCAAACTGAAAGAATAGTCGGAGTTAGACTTCGTAGCACTTACAATAGTATCTACATTATATTACAAGTGAGTGAAATGAGTCATTATAAATAAGAGAGATGTTTGACGCACGAACGCTTATAATGCCATTTCACTATCACGTAATTATAAGTGTTCTGTCCGGTAATCGCACTTTTTTAACGGAAAACAAATTTGATAGTTTATTTTAAAATCAGGATAGATACATAACAAATTTTCTGATTTCCATTATGACGCGTGTGTAGAACGTGGTTTAGCTTCTAATGTGCAACATGAGATTTATGTTTCTAACAGATGAAAAACGTCGTTAGAGAAACAGCTATGTACTGAGCGTTTTTGTATACCTAAAAGGATTTAGGTACAATCACTTACGAAAACGTATTAGTTGTAAGACAAATGATTTTTTAGATGCGTTAAAATAGTTGTTCTTTGCCTATAATATATGATTTTCAAGTGGAAAGAACCACGAGAACTTCTTCTAATAATTTTCTAACAGTTTATTAAAAATGTTGTTTCTCCTAGTAGCTTGTTTACACCAGCAAACATATCGCGAACAGTTCAATTACAAACCTTGTTCGCGAACAGCATGCAAACAGGTCGCGAACAGTTACACGTTGACATCTACAGAAACAAATGTTGTATGCCTGTCAGTGTTCTTTGTTTATCTGTGAATCGGTCGATGCGAATCAAATCCCCGCTTGCGCTGCCTATACTATTTAAAACAATATTTAAAAGTCAGCAGTCATTCACAAAACTGGCAAAGGTGTCTATTTGAGAGCAAAAGCAAACTAGAAACTTTAGTCGTATGTCAAATATCAATTTTGAACAACCTAATATTCTTGTTACTTCTTTAACGCAACTCTTCTGTTTTATTTCTATATTTAGTTCCTTATTCCTATAAACATCACAACGTTCTCTTTTGTACTCATAAATGGGACAAAATTGACGCGAACATTCCAACCATCTACACCAAACTGAGCGTACACAACATTTTAACTTACTTACCGACAGTCGATTTTTGGCGAGTAAAAAAATTATTATTATTATTATTATTACATAGTAGCAAGGACAGAGACAAAGCCTATTTAGTCCAATAAAATGTACAAAATGACAGTTAACAGCTTTTAAAGTAAAATAAATAGCTAACATAAAAAAAAAGAAAAAATAAGTATGTGAACAGAATACTAAAATAACAATACAAATCACAGCTAAAATACACTAGGCGCGCACTCTTTGTAAAAATTCTGATGACATCCATGCATCCAACCTGTTCTTGAAAGAGTTGACTCATGGGGCAGTAACAACAGATGAAAGTAGGCTATTCCAATGGTAGAACACTCTATTTGGGAAGAAATTTTGACGCAAAGACGTTTTGAAGTTTTCTCTCGATAATTTAAACTGATGACCACGCTTCTCCAAATTTAACCTAAATAAGTCTCCAAAAGTTAAACTGTAACGATTATTTAGAATCCTGTACATTTGGATAAGATCACCACGAAGACGTCTCACATTAGTACAAGTAATTTTCAAATTATCCAAACGGTGATGATATGGAAGAGATCTAAATTTGCGGACCCATTTTGTGAATCTTCTCTGCACGCCCTCTATCAGATTAATATATTTTACCAGGTAAGGGAACACAATTATGTTCACGCAGTATTCCAGATTCCGACGAATATATGATTTATTTAATTTTAAGAAGACCTGATCGTTTGAGCTCTGGAAACACTTATTTAAAAGATAAGACACGGAGCCGGCTTTTTTCACAACGGTGGAAATATGTTCAGACCAAGTGAGACTGGAATCGATTCCCAAATCATTCTGGTTTTCGACAGTCGTTATAAGTTGACCTTGACCGAAAGTATATGTTGACTTGGGATTATTTTTACCAATATGTATAACAGTACACTTATTTAAATTCAGAGGGATGAGCCAAACATAGCACCAGTGCCCGATGGAATTAATATCATCTTTTAGAGTTTGATGATCTTGTAGTGCATTTCCAAATATCTTAGTATCATCGGCATACAGTGCATGCTGCGGTTTGAGCTGCAGCGAGAGATCAGCTGTATATACCAAAAATAGGACTGGTCCCAGAACAGAACCTTGCGGTACCCCTGAAAGAACTACTTGAGATTCTGAATGCTATTTGCCAACTCGTACAGAAAACGTTCGATTTGTGAGGAAACTATCTATCCAGGCACGTAATGGACCTCGTATAACATTATGTTCCACAGTAGCCTGTTTTTCGGGACTATCAAACGCCTTGGCAAAATCAAAATACAGGACGTCGACTGGAAATCCCTTGTCAACCCATAGTGTCCACGAGTTCACAGACGATAAAAGGTCCGTAAAGGTAGAACGGCCTCGAAGGAAACCATGTTCACCAGCATACAAAAATTCGTGTCTATGAACACCAAAATAGGACTTCTGATCGCGAACAGCACTTGTAACTGTTCGCGAACTGTTCGCAATATGTTTGCCGGCGATACGCATGCACCTTTATAAATTTTACTGCAATGTTGTCGTTTTTAAACTTACACTAACTTCTTCAGTACCTATCTCATGTTTTATGAGTTAAACTATGCGTAAAGTGTAAGTGTAAAGCTACCTCTTGAAATACAAATACATAAAAAAAACTGCACGTTACAAAACATCTAAAATGGAATAGCTTTGCATTTAGGCGAGCACGCTTTTGGACGCGATTTAAATAATTGAGTGAGTAATAACATTTCAACAATAGCTACCTATTAGTTAAACCTCAAAGTAGAAACGATAAATATTTTATAGTGATCTATACAAAGACTATTTGGAACATGGAAGAAGTACAGAAGGCTGGACATTAGAGAACGGTTATCCTGTAGGAACACCTAGAGACACGTTTCCTAGAAGAGCCATGTCAGCAGGATCATCAGCCGGACTATTTCTGTTAATAAAAGCGTTCAAACAGGACCTAGATTACATCTGCAAAGGACCAGTTCAGGGTTTCAAGGTGAGGTACACCCTATATCAAATTTTAACCAAGAACATTCAAGAATCCATAGAGTAAGAAAAATATAAGCACTTTGCTATATAAACTTGTTTTCGAAACTCCATCCTTATTGAAATACACGATGTTAAAGCTTAAAATATTTTGAATAAACGAAGATATATAAAATTTAGATATAAAATGACAAAATAATGCAAAGAAATTAATTTTTGAACCAAATAGGTTGAAAAATGCACGAATATACCGTAGAAAAGTTAGAAAGTACAATAAAGTACATTTTTGTAAAGTTGGAGCGTAGGTTTGAGGGAATTTGAAAAATGTTAGAATTTTTGACAAGTTGATCGACGGAGAAAGAAGGAGTTGCACTTATAAATGTAATTCATGTAATAAACTAAAACTAAAGTTATACCTTTAGTCAATATTTATAAGTGGAATCAAAATTAATGTTTTTGGAACTTCATGTAACGATTTTCGGAATGTTAAACTCATATGTCAAATATTATGTAAAATTGTAATACGGGGGTAGGCAAAAAGTAATATGTGTATATAATCTGTAAAATAATATGTGTAGTGTTAAAAATGTCGTTGAACAATATTACAGGCATAGAATTAAGCTAGATAGCACAAATTAGTCAGAATTTACAAAAGTAGGTAATTAAACGCTGGAAGGGGCTGTAATCCGAAGAATAGATAGAATAATCATATCATTGGTTAAAAAACCAAAATTAAGGTAATCCTTTTGATCACTTTACAGGTGCTTCTGCATCATCCAGCGGAGATTCCCAGGGTGAGCAGTAATTACTTTCGAGTACCTCTAAACCAGGAAGTAGTGGTCTCAATCGCGCCGGATATGATGACAACTTCTGAGGGGCTAACGGAATATGAACCGCACAGAAGGCAGTGCTACTTCCCAAAGGAAAAATATCTGCGGTTTTTCCAGTACTACACGCAACAGAATTGCGAAGTAGAGTGCTTAACCAACTATACTCTGGTAAAATGCGGATGCGTTGCCTACCACATGCCAAGTAAGAAAATAGATCATTATGGTAGAGAATTTTGACCTGCTTGTTTATAAGTTTTCCCACCGTACTTAGGAACAAACAAGAGATTTTGAGAAGTACAGAAATATAACCAATTTTTATAAGCAATCTTCCTCTTTTCAGTATGTCTATTAATATCTTGAACCAACTGTTCCATTCACTTTATTATTAGGCATTTTTAAATATATTTCCCCCAAGAGTAATTTGTAGATTGCAAATCGATGGAGTGAATATATCGTTTTTCACTGCGACTATCCAAGATAATCCATTCTAAACGTCTACAATCTTAAGAGCTCCCCATCTAACTTTAGTTTTCTAATTAGGTATATTACATAGTTTAGAAGCTTCCAGTGTCTGATATTTCTCTTTCAAAGAGAGTCTTTGTTAGACCTTAACATGTTCACCATGCATGGAATGTGGTGTCCTCTTCGACCAAAGAAGAACCTACATCTTCTATCAGGTTAATATAAAAGTTTCTTGGATTTGCAATATCCAGTTAAAAGTCCCACTTTTATCCTTATTTACATTGTTTCATTAGGTCCGTCGTGTACTGCTTCGATGAGTCTTTAAAAACTTCTTGACTTACTTCTTCTTATCACCAGTTCTTCTTCTTGTTTCAACACTTCAGCACGGCAATTTTGCAGGAATGTTCAGCCTTTTCGTTGACCCAATGGTTGTCATAATTTTTCTACTTTCCAAGTACTTAAAACTTCTTAAAAAAAATTGCAGCTAATTTACTTCCGCCGTATAAACTAATGCCTTTCAAGCCATATCCTTTTTTTTTTCAGGAGAGAAGTCAACTCCAATATGCGGCGCAGGAAACTTGGAGTGCATGCTTGAAGCCAAAAGTGCGTATTTCAAGTGAAACATGGAAGTCTTTGTACCTAAAAATCATTTTAAAACATTTCAGACGAACTGCTTCAAAACGGAGTTGACGCTGAAATATCCAACCAAAATTCGAATGATCCGAATATGAAAGACTTCTTGAATTGTGACTGTTTGCCCAGTTGTACATCTTTAAATTACGATTCTGAATTTACTCAAGTTCCATTCCATTGGGAAAAGATTTTCGAGGGTTACAGATCGGATATCAACGAATTTCCTGGGTAATTATGACTAAATACGGAATAAATATAAATAGGAAACTATTTTTTCTATACTTTACAAAATCACTTGTAGATACTGTACAACACATCACATTTTCGGTATTATTGGGGTACTTATCTCAATTATTATTAAAGAACGATACTTTTTTGATAAAAATCTACAGGTCAGAATACAGGATGTGACGTCGACGATGATCTATAAAAATTAAACTACAGCTTCCTGATCATATTTGTAATAGAAAAATCTTATACGAAAAAGTTCTATCCTCGCGCTTTTTTTGTAAATTAAAATTCATTTATTCCACGAAAATGAAGGCCGACCCTGTGTTATTTATTAAAACTTTCGAAATTTTTTTATGCGACCCGAGATGCAACCTTATAATTTAAGTCGGTATAATCTAATATCAGTAATACTAAAAGAAGGTTAAGTTACATTGTCAAAAAATTTGTGCAGTCAACTGATTTTGTATTTGCTTTGAATTCATTATTCACTTAATTATTTTAAGCATCGTCCATCGACCCATCAGTGTTAAAAAAGTGGCAGATTCCAGACGAAAGTTTTTATTTTGTAATTTCACTATAGTGATAGTGTAATTTTTATAAAGTAGAAAATAAGAATAGCGTACCGATTACATTAAAAACGAAATTCTTATTTCTTCCTTTGAAGTTTTACAATGAACCGAGAAAACAATGCACTTTACTATTTCCGAACGTGTCGATATGGTGTAAGTGTATGGTGCAGCCGCAGAAAACGAGATTGCGGCGACTAGGTTGTACCGGGAACGACGGCCACAACGTCACCCCCCATGTGCAAATACAATTCTACATTGCGTTCAGCGGCTGCAAGATACGGGAAGTGTTATTCCTCGAGGAGAAGGACGTGGTCGGCAAGTCAACCTTAATGTTAAAGATGTGTTGGAAAATCATGACGAAGACCCCATAATTAGTACTCGACGACTCGCACAGCAAGTAGGAACCTCATTTCGTACCGTACATGGCATCTTAAGGCGCCAGCTTTTGCACCCCTATCATCTGCAACCAGTTCAACAGATTTTACCCCTGGATTGTGATCAACGAATGCGTTTTTGCAGATGGTTTTTACGGCAATCAAGTAGACTTTCCTGCTAATGTTGGTGTAACAGATGAGGCGACATTTACCCGTAATGAAGTGAATTTCAATAATATGCACATATGGGCCGATGACAATCCTCACGTGGTTAGGGAAACTCATTTTCAATATCGGTTCTCGGTAAATGTTTGGGCTGGCATAGTAGGCGATGTACTTGTGGGTCCCTATTTTTTTGAAGGACGACTAAATGGACTAACATATGCTGACATTTTGGAAAACCGGTTGCCTGAATTATTGAACGATGTGGCATTACAAGTTCGGGCACGCATATTTTATCTTCAAGATGGAGCTCCTCCATACGTACTCGAGAAGTAACGACACTTTTGAATGAAATGTTTCCTCAGCGATGGATTGGACGCTTTGAACCTGTGCCGTGGCCACCTCGGTCACCCAATAGACTTTTATCTTTGGAAATGGTAAGTTTTATTTCATTTTGTTCCATATTTTAATGGAGTGTGTTTAGTGCACGCAGTTGGCAACTACAGATGCTTACAGATGTGATTTTGTTTGCGAACTCTTGCAGTAACAGCAATGCATTTGATAGAAATTACTATTAATTATTATTATAATAAGGAAATATCAGTTTTTTTTAAATATCTATTTTTCTTAGTATGTATTTTTGGATTGAAAAATTCCCCAAAAATTGAGAATTATCTTCCTATCTTTCAACGACGATTTGTTTACGCGGCTAGTCTACAGCACGTAACTCATCGTACGGACAGGACCGTTCCAGAGAAAATATTTTGATCCATAATTGAACTATAATTTACGAAAAAAAAAACGCAAAAATAGGACTTTTCTATTACAAATATCGTTAGAAAGCTGTAGTTTAATTTTTATAGATTATACACGCCACACCCTGTATATTTCCAATGTATTTTTTATTTTTAGAATTATACTTACGTCATAATATCATTCATGTTTACAATACTAACACTCTTCGTACTACTTAGCAAAGTTAACTTTTTTAATGAACACTATAGTTAAACGAAGGTGTTTTGCACCTTCCAAAAATATATACTATGTCACATGTCACGTCGTCCCGTCGTTTTTTCTTAATTAAACAAATGATGGAGTTGGGCTAAAAACAAATGGCATGAGAAAGACTTCCTCGATGAGGAAGTAAATTATTATTATACATTTTTGGAATGTGCAGAACTATCTGCCAAGATACCATAACGTCATAGAAAATGAGTGCACTGTATAGTATTATCAATTTTAGGATTCAGCTATCCAGAATAACTTTCTTCTTCAAGGAGCAGCAGTTCATAACATCAGAAAGAAACGAACTCTATGGCCTGGCAGACTTTTTAGCTAATTGTGGCGGTATTCTTGGATTGTTTACGGGATTTTCATTCTTATCTATAGTAGAAATAGTCTACTTCTTGTTTTTACGATTTCTATGTAATGTAAAAATGTATGGAAAGCATTATTGGTCGGGTTCATCGAGACTTATTAACGATGAGAACTACGTACATTAAGATATGGACAAATACAAGATGGTATTAAATTATACTTCTCATTTCTCATTACATAAAACGTAAAGGAGCATTTGGAAATGTTTTTTAATTTGTTCCGTCATATATGTATATAATAATTATATACAAATAATTATTATTTGAAGATAAAATGTATTACATGGTAAAAATACTTGCTTTAAATGATTTAAACAAATAAATATATGTACATTAGTAGCAGAAAAATGTTCTAGGGTAGTAAAATAACAATTTCTATATATGTGTACAATAAAAAAATTGTAATGTCCAAAGGCTATTGAAATAAATGTATAAAAAACACTATAAATTTCTCTGTTTCATATTGTTTCGCATTCAGTTCTCTTCTCTTTATCTTGAAACATGTAATAATTTTTACTCGGATTGACTCGTTGACGAAAATTTGAGATTCAGTGGTAGAATGATATGACATCTAGTAGTAACAGTAATTGTATTTTTATTATATCAATACGTTTTCAAATGAAATGGGAAACTATTTTTTTTGTTGAACACCTATATATTTTTATGAAATATATTTCTAAGAGAGACGAGAATTTTCAATATATTCCTTGAACGCCTATGAACATCCACTATTCGATTAAAAAAATAGTTGCACTTAAGTGAAGGTTAAGATTAAACGTAATCACTACAATGGTAACTGTTTTCGAGGAGTAATATGTTCTAGTCACTATTAACCGTCTTCTATGCTCCTTTGATAATACACTTCAGAGGATACCCTTTTAAAGAATGGTATTTTATTTTACAGAAAGATCTAAATACTAATTACATTTATCTATCATCTTCAAAAAATGCTGAGTCATCTGTATTTTACTCTTAAGTACCGCTAATCACCGCAATTAACGTAATCGGAAATATCAAGATGACAATGAAGTGTTTGGTCGCCCGTGATCAGTACTAAATTATTACGATTTACTCACCAACGTAGGAAATAGTATTCTGGCAGCTAAGTAGCTCCAATAACATTCGTGGAATTGATTTCGTCACTTTTAATAGTGATGAATAAGAAGCTCTTGAATAACAGAATAGTAAACGTTTCCTTTTGGGTGGACTTTCGTTTTTTGAGAAGATGAGAATATGCTATAACCGTGCTTGTTTTGATTATTTCTTTATCTAATGTAGATTGAATCCCAGAATTAATAAATGCACATAATTTGTTACTTGAATTTATGCTATAAGAGAATATGTGGTTGAAATATCAAAATTATATGCGTAGAAATTATTTATTTCATAATTGATCTTATGACTAATTAAAACAAATCGTTTCGTCACCCGGGTTTAGAGATGTATAAAAGGTTGCATATTCACAAGGACATATTTTACCGAAAAATGTATTTTAGTAAGAGATTATTACTATTTGCCAGCCTTTCTTTAACACATTGGGTTTATCTGGATATATCTCTCTTATTATTAGAGACATCAAACTCTTATAATTGTGAAAAACGTACGTACCTACTATTTAAAAAAGTGAATTTATTATTATACATTGATAATAAAGTGTTGCAATCTGGTAACAAAGCAATTGCTGTCATGAGATGGACCCTCTCTTTTTGACTTAAGAGTATCAAATTTGAGGATATTCAGGAAACTTGTATAAAAGTTGTCATTTAAAAAACTTTGTAAGTATTAAAGTTAATGTTATAATTTCTTAGATTTTATCCTTAGTCAATAATACATTATACTATACCAGTTAAGAAACATAAATAATCAGTCGTTTTCCAATCTTTACTATACAGGGTAGTCTGAATTTTTTGCAGGAAACTTCGAGGGCAGATAGATCTCTTTAAAATAATATGTGTTTGCCTTATAAATATTGGTCTGGAACAGAAGAAGTGGATCGTATTTATGGAAGGGCGAAACGGGCGGTGACTATGAGACGCCTTCATTATAGCCATCCTTCTCTATCGCATGTATTTCTATGTCTTACTTTATCGCTCTCACGTAACTTCAGATAGGTACTACCATCGGTAATTTCTGACCCTGTAGATGGTTTGTAATGTATTTAATTTTTTTTTATATTAAATACGCCTTGTCGTGTACAAAAAAAATATATTATATGTAGGTAAACTGCTTTTTTATGACATTTCTTCAGCAATAGTTGTCCAGAATTAAAATTTATTTCCATATTCTAAATTTGGAATCAGTCGGCCTACTTTGAAGTTTTAGAATTAAAATTTGTGTTAAAGTACCAAATTTTGTGCCAATCGGTTTTAATTTTACAATTCAATGAAGCAAATCAAAAATATCAAAGTAGACCAGATTTGTCATTATATATGTCACATATATTATAATTGTGAACAACATTTCTCAATTTTTTGATGTTACATAAAATAGGGTTTTTACCTACACAGATAATAATTTGTTTGTTTTCGACACTTACAGTTAAAATGATCTGTGGACACTCCATACATATTAAATGCTGGAAAAAGGTTAGGTATTTTTGTGATTTCTGATAGTATATTATTGAGTTCTAAGGACAAAAACAACCACTACATTCCACACTTCTTTGTAATAGACTTTTTTCTACATATTAGAAACTTGATGCCAGCATTCAATGGGACGGCGGTTATCGTTTGTTTGTTGATGTTACTGGCGTGAGTGAGATCACCACGGCCGATGAAAGACGTCGAGTACCAAGAAAACGGGATACACTCTCTATCTAGCTGTCGGGTTATGCAATTGTTAAAAGTCTAGAATAAAATTGTATTTGTTTTATTCTTTTAATTTAATTAAAACTCCAATAATCATAAGAAACCTAACATACAGTTGAACAAAAGCAGAATTTTTAACTGGAATAAGGTTTCTCATAAAACGAAAAATATAAAAGTATTTGCTCTTTGCTACTCCGTCCGTGGACACGCTGTATAACGCACCTAACAAATAGAAAATGACAAAGGTATTTTTATTACTTACCGACACGTATACTACAGACAGCATTCCAATGCAAACATTTGGAATTGCTGTAAAAAAAAGGATAATAATCATTCAGTAAATCCCTGAATTGCTAATTAAACTAAGTTCAAAGAAATTATCAAATCGTGTTGATAAAATAATGCAATGTAAACTCCATTCAGATAAATATATTAATACCAATACCAAATTGACGAAAATGATTTCCACATAGTAACAGTAAATATTTTCAAATGTGTCGGTTTGGCTAATAAACTATAATTTAAATAAATATTTTGAACTTTTTAAATAAGCATAATTTATATTCGCGATGTGCGTTTGTATCGATTTACAATAATAAATATTTATAAATGTGCAATATTTATCTAATAACTTTCTTATAATAGAAAGAAATATAAAAATAAAGTACAGAATTATAAAAATGAGATATTTTGGAACAAATTCGAAATCATTTTTATTTCAAAAGTGATTGTATCTCTGCCGTCATAAAATAATACGACGTTCATTGCAACTGACGATACTAGTAACTATTACTAAGTTTTAAATAATATACGAAAGATGCAAACAAATAAAAAAAGTATAAAAATCACACTAGAAGTCTACTACGCATAGACACATTCCAAAACCGATAATACTAAATTAGTTTATATTATTGCAGGCGTTTTTTTCAATGTCAACGCTGCACGTATAAATTACAGTGAAGCATAGTGCTTGACGTTAATGCTGCAAAATGGTAGAGAGCAAAACGTTGATCGTACTGCTTTTATGTGAAATAAGTTTGTCTATAGCACATGTAAGTATAATATTGTTGTTTTTAGTCATCATAACTGCAGTGTAAATTTTATCATATTTAATATTTGAGTTACAAACAAAGGTTTTTCTTTATTAACAAATATATTATTATAATGTGTGTGATACGATTAATTTTTTAACTACCACAGAATAATTCTTTAATAAAAACTCTCTTTGAAGTATTTTTCCCCTATTTTGTTAGTTTCCTTTTCAGAATATTTTTTGTTATACAGTAAATTAAAAAGCGATTTAAAAGGTAAGGAGATAAATAAATAAATCAAAACTTGCACAGTTAACAGTTTTAATCAAAAGTTAAATACATCATTTTGAAAATGATAGCAAACTTTTTAATTTTTTGTTGCTGTGCCAAGAAATATCTAAGAATGCTTTATGAACCCTTTATTTGACCTCTGATTAACATCTATTCTTTTCAGTTTAACAGTGAAATTTGCAGAATATAGTAATATACAAATTCTGTCATTATTTACATTAGTAAATTATAGGTATAATTTTTCTGAATTCTTAAATAATACATGGTATATTTTTTGTGTATAGGCCAATGATCCTACACTCGTCAGTCTACCTCAAGGCCAAATAAGAGGCCGAACCTTACATTCTCCAAATGGCAAAGTTTATTATGCATTCCAAGAGATTCCCTATGCCACGCCACCTGTAGAAGGATTGAGATTCCAGGTAACCGCATTGATCTTATTTTGATTTTAATCATACATGGAAAATTTTAGACGCCCAGAGAACCTCCAAAATGGAGTGGAGTGCTGAATACCACAAAAAACACCAAAATTTGTTGCAAAACAGATACAGTCGTGATACCCGGTACAAGAGAGACTGAAGACTGTTTATATCTGAACGTTTTTACTCCCCTGGTAAGACCTTAATAATTAATGTGGTACAGGAGACTGTATATTATTATTATTAGGTTAATTAAATAATAATTAATTATCACTTAATTATATTTTCTTTCAGAGACCCGGAGATTCTTCTAAACCTCCCTTAGCGGTATTAATATGGATACACGGAGGTGGATTTTCATTCGGAACTGGAGTTGTTCAATTGTATAAACCTCAATATTTTATGGACTACGATATCATCGTTGTCACAATAAACTATCGACTGGGTGCTTTAGGTATTTTCTTTATTGAATTTTTTACTGATTTGTACCTTATTTCATTTGATTCATGAAATAAAGCTGATGAAGTTTGGAATTGAGAGCCACACTTCTTTTAGAACTGAAATTCTTGACATTTCGCGAGTCATATTGCTTTCTTCAGAAGAGGTTTTACTAAATCAATTTTTTAAGGATTTCTTGCCACTGAAGATGGAGTCATCCCGGGAAATTTAGGACTAAAAGATCAACGATTTGCCATAAAATGGGTAAAGAAAAATATTAATTTGTTCGGAGGGGACCCTGACAAGATAACAATTGCAGGTGCTAGTGCTGGATCAACTTCTGTGGGTTTCCACATGATAAGTCCAAAAAACAGAGGTAAGAAAAGTTTCTGACACTATTTAACACCTACATGTACCAATAATACTTTCAAGGACTATTTAGAGGTGCCATATTGCAAAGCGGTTCTCCTATAAATAAATGGACACGTCAAGATTATGCACGACTCTACGCCTTCGAATTGGGACGAAGTTTGGATCCCAATTTCAAGTCAAACGATTCAAAAGAATTACTCAAGTTGTTACAAAAAACTCCGGCTTCCAAAATAATAAACAATACAGTAGCTGTAAGTAAAATGAACGTTTTACGTGAATTAAGTTGCAGTTAAAAATAATTTTCTTAGCCCATTATTGGTAAAGAAACCGGATCGGTTGAGGGTACTGGTTACTTATGGCTGCCCATAATTGAAGACGCTAACCTAGAGGGAGCCCTTCTTACGGGTTCTTTTTATGAAGCTATTAGTAAAGTAAAAATAAATAAAGTCACTACGATGCTTACCTTCAATTCCGAGGAAGAATTATTATTTTGGAAACCTGGTAAGTAATATAATAAGTCAGAATTTTATTTTATGTCCATATTTTTTCCCAACTTATATGATTTAGCAATAATTGTCATCAGCTTGAGAGATTTAATCATATACAGGGTATTTTTAAATGAAGTAGTAAAAATGGTACCAGTGAATGTAGAGCTAAAAATAAGAGGATTGAAGCAAAAATGCCTTATATGCATGTTGCACCCCTGAGGCGATATACCCTCTTAAAGGAGAGGATTGAGATTCACATTTTAATTTTTTTCTTTAACATGAGGAATGCTAGAGACAGGAAACTTGGTATGAGCATCCTACTAATAAAGAGATAACTTTTTAATATTTTATTAGAAATTTTTTATATGACGCAAATTATTTGTTTAAAAATATTTATTGGGAAGACTTATTTATTATTACGCAACTTTTTTACCTCTGTAATTTTTCGATAAAACCGATAATTTTCTTGTAAAAAAATTAGATGCGTCATCGTTCACTGAAGGGGTAAGTGCGCGAAAATTTGTAGAAATAAAGTAGGCGGATGTCATAACAAATAAATTGTTATTTATCATATTAATAAATTGACACTTTCTGTCAATAAGCTGGTAATTTAATAATAATATTAAGAATAATTTGTTTAAGTAAAATGCTTGATAACTTATGACTATGGGACATGTATTAGGTAAAGTTATTTATCTGAAATAAAATTTAATACAAACGAAAAACAAGAAATGCAAAATTAAATTTAGAGAATATTTTCGAAATAATTTCCATTTTGCTGCAAGCATAACCTAATACGCCTATTGAAGTTATAACGCACTCGCACAAACAATTCTTGGTTATTGCGAAGGTCATCTGCTGCCTGAAAAATTCTTAATAGACGAGTAAAATTGCAACGCTAAGTCGCTTAGTTATCGAAATAAAAAAACTGGCGTAGAACCAAGCCAGACTTAGGTGATCGTGTACACGAAACCACTTTTTACGACATTTTTTGTTGGTCGGGATCTTTTTAATTTCGAAAAAATAAAAAAAAATCAATTTTCAATCAAGTTTTTCTGATTTTTAGCGAAATGAAAAAGCGAGTTTTATAAAATCCATTAGTACTGTTAAAAGCGCTATTGTGTCTGCTTTAATTTAAAAAAAATTACTCTGATAGTACAATTATTTTTTGAGATATAACGGTGGAGAGCTTAAAAAAACATATTGTCATAAAAATAGATTTTTTCTATTTTTTCAAAATTAAAAAGATCCGACCAACAAAAAATGTCGTAAAATACGATTTCATATGCCCAATCACATCTACGTCAGAAAAACAAAACGACACAATAGACTCTTCAAGAAATCCATAGGCGTTAGGTCAGGTGAACGTGCAGGCCAACAAACAGGGACATCATGACCACGACCAATCCAGCGATTCGGGTAATTTAAATTAAACCATTCTCTAACGGCAAGTGTACTATGTGCAGGCGCCCCATCTTGCATATACCACATCACCTGACGTGTAGCACGTGTAGCGAGGGGTACATCCTCAAGTAATAATGGAAGATATTCGTTCAAAAATCTAAGATACTCGGCCGCTCCAAGCCTGTGTGGAAGAATACAAGGACCTACTAGAGTATTTCCTACAATCCCCATCCAAACGTTTAAACTGAAATTATGTTGACATTTTGAAACAAATATTTCATGAGTATTTTATTCCGACCTGAATGAACATTATGAAGGTTTACTGCACCTACTCTAGGACAATTTGCTTCATCGGTGAAAAGTATATTCATTAGGAAATTTAAGTCATATATGGAAATATTAATGTACCATTGACAAAAATTTACGCGGTTAGGTAAATCAGGGTCATTCAGTTCTTGCACGGGTTGATGGTGAAAAGGCTATAAAAGATTTTCATGAGCTGCATTCCACACAAGACTGTGAGAAACTTGCAGTTGCCTGGACACCTGTCTTGTGCTTGTACCACAGTCTTGTTCTAGATGTTCCACTATAGCTTCCTCAGTTTCAACAATTCGGACATTACCTTCTTCCGGCACCCTCACGATTGGGCTGAATTTTATCAGTTTCGCGAAGCCTTCTTTCCACCGAGGCCAATGTTTGTCTATGAGAAATCGGTCGGTTTGGATATCTTTGGTGGTATAATCTTGCTGCAGAGTTACTATTTTTTCTGGATTCCAAAAACACTTGGAACATGTCGATATATTCGTCATTGGTATAAATATTATTTGCCATAATTATTCTGATAATAAATTAATTGGTACTAATTATTGGTTGGCAGAAGGTGTAAATTTATTAATATGATAATTAACAATTTATTTGTTATGACATCCGCCTACTTTATTTTTACAAATTTTCGCAATTTTTTTACTAGAACACTATCGGTTTTATCGAAAAATTACAAGAGGTAAAAAGGTTGCGCAATAAGTCAGTCTTCTCAATAGATATTTTTAAATAAATAATTTGCTTCATATAAAAAATTTCTTTATTAGTAGGATGCTCATATCAAGTTTAGTATCTCTAGTATTCCTCATGTTAAAGAAAAAAATTAAAATGTGAATTTCAATCCTCTCCTTTAAGAGGGTACTGGTACCATTTTTAATATTTCATTTAAAAACACCCTAGGTATATTTCCGAATTGGATTATTTTAAAAACTGCAATATTAAACAGCAGTTACAGATGTTTCTCTACTTCTTGAAGCACGAGCAAAATATTACGACAATGACTTGTCCAACATCATTAGAAATAAATTCAACATGACAAAACAAAACAAGGTTATTGCTGGACGTAAAATCAGGCAAATCTACACTAATCGAACATTTCAAGAAAACTTTCCAGGTTTAGTAAAGGTGAAAAATATCTTACTTTTGTCTGTAATTAACTAAATTATAACTATTCAAGTAGGTAACTTATCCATACGTTACAATTTGTTATTGATATTCATCAATAAAGTAAGGTACTTATTAAAATTTTGCACATCGCAGTTTTTCAGTGATGAATCATTTACAACGGCCATCACTAGGCATGCAAAGTTACAGTCTAACTATACCGATGTTTATTTGGGTCAGTTTTCATACCAAGGCAAAATGGGAGGAATGAAAGACTTCGAAGTTGCAGGTAAATTCTTTATATATGGTACTTGTCTACATAATTTCTAAAATCGTTTTGTCTTTAAAATAAACTCCATTAAATTTAACTTAGACTAAATAACTTCGCTCTTGCTTACTCAGTAGGTCAATTAATTTAATGGCAGCTGGAAACACCAGAATTTCTTAAGAAAGCTTTTTAATAACAATAAATAAAATTTAAGCAAGCAATTAATCCCGAAGTCTGAAAGTCAAACAAAACCAGACTCTTTGGATACCCTATCAAAAGAGAACCGACTTTTTGGAGATCTTACTGGATCTAGACACCTTCACTTCGACCCAGCCCGTTTTAGTCTAGAGACTCTGTTATCACACTGGTCTCTTCTTTTATGCCTTAAGTACGTTACTTTCTGTTTAGAGTCTGTTTGACTCCCTTCCTGAACCTAAGGAACACTCCACAATAATTTTAAACCTTAATATGAATAATTACACAAAAACTAAATTTACATATAATCGTATGCCTAACTCATCTTCATAGAGGAAAGAGCCCTGCCAATAAAATCTCTATGTACGATCAACTATAGTCCCTTTGCACGAAATACTATCCACGGGAGTCGATGGTACATTTCTCTAGAGTCCATATTAGCTTTGTAAAGCTCGCTAAAGGCATTTAACCGATTGCTAAGGCAGTTTTTAACTTACCTATCCAAAAGTTTGCTATTTTAATGTTCTATTAGTTCTATTGCTTTTGAATTACAGAAAAATATTCTCTTAGCGGCTGAACTGTGCTGGCAAATTCACTTAAAATCTCCTTGTGATAATGGTTCTGCGTTAAAGGAACTGACAGAAACTATTATCCGTACTCAGACTATTCTGTTTTCTAAAAAAATGTCTGAAAAAAGTGGACGCAACCTTTCTTTTATTACACATATTACCAATGCTGTCATAATATCGTCTTTATTACCATTTTAGGTGTGCGAGGTGTTGGTCATGGAGAAGAATTGGGCTATTTATTTGACATGCCCGTTTCTCGTTATGAAACTCCTGACGATCCAGAAGATTTGGTAACGCGACAGCGTTTATTGACCTTATGGTCGAACTTTGTCAAGTATTTGTGCGTATTTATAAAATGGTTCGAAATAATTGTACTACATCATTATTTGTTTCAGAAATCCAACTCCTGAAGAAGACAATGTTTTGAATAACGTTATTTGGAAAAAGCTAACACCGAACAATTTGGTATATTTGAACATCAACAAAACTCTTGAAATGGAAAAAAACCCAAAAGAGTACCTCAAATGGGAGAAAATTATAGATGCTTATGCTATACCACCGTTTAATAATTATTAAACTGTATTTTCAAGGATATTAATAAATTCCAAGATCGTTTTATGATTATCATAATGAATATGTCTATACGTTAAGAGATAGGAGCTTAAAATTCGATGAAATACATTTTTACACCTACTTGAGACGTCATTTCCATTCCCCAACCGCATAATTTCCCACTCTAAATAATTTAAGCGGAAAGATGAGTTAAACATAATCCATCAGTTCTCACTTAACAGATTCTTTTATTGTATTCACAGTTGTTTTAATTTTGAGAATATTGGATGTAAATGACATTGCAATAAATTAAGAATTAATTCCTCTCGTCAAAATAAATATAAAAAAATAAAAGTAGCAGGCAGCAAGGATTCTAAAGGGTTCTATGACCGTTCAAACATTGGTAGTGAAATATTATTTTTGGTCCAGCACTTGAGAACCATTGTAGAAATCGTCAAATCTAGTACAGTGCAATTTCCAAATAGTAGCTACTTTCATTTAGTTGAAGAAAGAGTAATTAGCACTACACGTCATAATTAGAAGAGTCTGAGGAGCAATTTTTGTGTGCCTTGAAATTTTTTTCATCAACAAACAACATTCATCATCAATTTCTCATCAATTTCACCTACCAATAATGCAGCTAAATTTGCTATGAATTTTGAATTATTGACGTGGATTCCATGGGAAAAAAACTAAGAAGGTGAAAAATTTACAATGATTCAGCTAAATCTCTAAAATTTATTAAACCGATTCGAGTGTGTGTTTATATAGAAACTTATTATCTCAAAATCGCATCGTCTACAAGTAAACCACAACTGTTTATAAAAACATTTAAAACACCTTGTTAGGTTATCGTGTCTATTTACTTATCACCAAAACAAATGGGGAAACACCAATTAATAAACACTGATTAGCTAAGCAAAACCGCTTGGAAGCGACGACTGACTAATGACTTCCAAGAACATTATTATACAAATAAGATATAATTATTATGAAAACCCAAATTAATAGCTTTATTAATGCATTGCCTCTCTGTTATACACTACTATTGATTGTTAATTGTTTAGTGACAATCTTGCAGTAGTACTTAATATAGAAATAGTTATGTAGAACCCTGCATGGCCCCGGCTATCTTTCGTTTTATTGTAATAGTCATGGATATAGAAGCATTATTAGTGTAAAATACGTCAATTATCATAATTGAATATATTCTGCGTACCGCTAAACATAGAAACGGATAATAATGAACCAATCTTATTCAAGGAACTTCCCATAGCAGTTTCTTATGTAGGTATATACAGGGTGTCCTAGAATGACGTGTACAACGGAAGAACACAGATTCGTGAACTCAAAATATGCAGATTTAGGCTAATTCATCTATATTGGATATAGAAATCGCTTCGTTTGGCCGCTAGATGGCCGCAAAGTTCATGCACATTTTTTGAATTTTGTAAATAACTTGAATACATATTATTCGATTTTGATTGTTTTTGGGGTGTGGACCTTTGCTTTCAATCTACATATTTTGGTGTTGGTAATTCGTCATAACTTTTTCCTCTTTTGGGCAATAATGACGACTATTTCTTATTTGATAGGTGATACCATTTGGAAGTTTTTGGACCTCTTGTAGAATTTTGATTAAATGAGCGGTTTGGGTACAAAAAAATATTTTTATATATACATTATCTTGCCAGCCATATTACAGTACTTAACAAAGTGTTAGTAGGCTCTGATTTTGTAGGTTGACTGTAATTTCAATTTGATCTTTAACTTTGTACTAGATTTAAAAACATCAACTTTGTTACTTTTATCTCCAGATTTTTTTTATTCTATTTGATTATTGTTACGAATTATTTCAATAAAATTAGGCACGTTGTAAATAACTAAATTGTCGTACATGTGCGTATCCATATCGAAAATAAAATAATATGTAGTATAATATCTTATCGTAATAAACACTCATTAAGAATTGGCAGGTACAATGACTTAAGGATCTGAAATTACAGTCAACCTACAAAATCAATGACTACTAACACTTTGCTACGTATAGTAACATCTGGTAAGATAGTGTAGACATTTAAAAAATATTTTTTTGTACCCAAACCGCTCATTTAATCAAAATTCTATAAGATACCCAAAAACTTCCAAATGGTATCACCTATCAAATAAAAAATTATTTGTCATTATTGGCCGAAAAAGGAAAAAATTATGAACGGATATTATCACTATACATCAATTTTGTAGGAGTTGTAAGTTTTAAAAAACACTCTGTATAACAACAAACTTTGTAGATTGAATGCGAAAGTCCACACTCCAAAAATAATCAGTCGATTAATACGTATTCGAGTTCGAATTCAAAAAAAAATTCACGAACTTTGAGGTCATCTAGTGGCCAAACGAAGCGATTTCGGATATAGGTAAATAAATCTGCCTATTTTGGGTCCACGAATCTGTGGTCTTCCGTTGTACATGTTATTTTGGGACACCCTGTATAGAGAGAAAAGCTTGTTGTTTACTGCTATATGAACCAAGATGAACCGTAGAAAAGTTCATTTTATGTGAAATAAGTTTATCTATGTAAAGCACATGTAAGTATTTTAAATTAGAAAATAAACAAAAACAAACCAAACTCTCATCAAATTTGAAATAAAACGGATTTTTTTGTTTAATTTTGCGCAACAATAATTTGTGGTTAACATCGATAACGTGTTGACAGAAACTGTTGTGGCTTTTATTGACAAAAAAACTAATTTGAAATATTTAGTGACCTTTTAGGCCAATCAATAAATCGTTAAATCAGTGGTTATGTAACAAAAATACTAGTAGCACGGACTGTGCCGTCATATAAAAGACAGTGTATAGATATATGCTTATATGTTTTCTACTCTAATTTACCATTAATTTATTTTTTGTCAAAAAACGCATTTTTTAGTTTATTGCTTATAAAACCTAAACTATTGAATCAATCTGAATGCTATAGAGACAATTTGTAGAGAATCAAAATAGGAATAAAACGAGAGGTCGATCGATACGATCGGATCATTAGATAATAACAAAGAAAACCCAGAAAAATCTGAAAATTTAGCGTTTCTTTTAAAATTCATTTCTTCGTCATTTTTTAAGTTGTAGAACTGACCCTGTGTACAAAAGTAGTGAATTAAACATAAACATACATAAACATAAAACACACCACAGAAATGACTCAAATCCAAATCCATCGACATTGCCAGTGCTGACGCCAGGGATCGAACCCGGACCAGAATAGGAAGCCTGGCCGAGAAATGCTTGCCACCGCACTCTCGACCGACTACGCTACCGTTAGACAAGGCGAAAACCTCGCATTCGTGGGAGAAATTTTCCGACTCGATTTTTTTGCATATTCAGATTCGTGAGATGTTCCTATATCCTGTATGTATCCTGCATATTATTATTATCACACATTTATTCAATCATAAGATTTCTTACACTGTTCTATGTTACAACCACATAAAGGTAGTTTTTCCTACAAGAACAAGCTTTAGTCTTACAGTTTTTTGTACATTTACATTGTTTAACTAAGTCTTTGTGTAATGTATCTTTGGTAATTTTAGGTAATAATTCATCTGTTTCATTTTGATAACCAAAAGCTGTGAAATCCAAATATTGATATTGAGGAAAAATGGAACTTTTCCATATATACGTTTGTAAAGAAGCTCTTAAGACATGTAATTTCAATGAATTTGAAGTGCATGGTGCAAATTCACGTATTAGAAACGCGCGCGTGGCTTTAATTGCGTTTTTTAATTGCGCATTATTCACAATTAAAAAACAAGGCTTTAAAATAATGAGAGTCCCAAAAACTATTCAGCATCTTGTAGGGGGATGTTTAAACTTTAATTTAGGTACTTGGCAACATCAAAAATAATAATTTTAACCCGGAAATCGGCCGTTGAAAATCGCCATTTTCGCATTTTTAGCAACTTAAATTGCTTATAACTTTAAAACTATCAATTCTAGAGGCATAGTGCATAGAAACTTTTTTGTTTATAATGTGCCAAAAAACGTAAAGTGCAAAAAACAATTTTTACAATTTGTTTAAAAAAAGTTTGTTTAAACAAATGGGCACCAGATTTCCGGCCGGCATCATCTTGATTCATGTTAAGGAACATCCCACGAATCTGAATATGCAAAAAAATCTAGTCGGAAAATTTCTCCCACGAATGCGAGGTTTTCGCCTTGTCTACGTGGCGAATTATATAATTAAGTGTNCAATTGTTATATACAAATTCGGATACTGGTCTTTATACAACAAATCTTCCCTACTATACAACTGGAATATAAAGTCTATAACACCTAAAAATGTATAAGTAATTCATTATAACCTTTATTTCATAGATGCATAAGGTGTATATATATAAGCACCTTCCAGTTAAACTGATTGAATAATGAGTATGGAGATGATTGCTTTTTTTTAATAAAAGTTGTGTATTGGTTATAAAAGTTTTAATGTGCCCTATACACATTATTCTAGATAAACAGCCCATTTCTTTCAGTGTTAATATATATATTATCTTGCCAGCCATATTACAGTACTTAACAAAGTGCTAGTAGGCTCTGATTTTGTAGGTTGACTGTAATTTCAATTTGATCTTTAAGTCATTGTACCTACCAGTTCTGTTTTACCAGAAGCGGGATAATAAATATTCCCAATTAACATGTTTATACTCAAGAAAATCCACATGTTGTCAAATTGAAACATTATCAACATGAATTTCGCATCAGTGTTTGGTTTGGGAACATTGATAGTATTATTATTGGCCCTGTTATTCTACCCAATAGACTGAATGTGGAATTTTATTTAGAATTTTTGTAAAACTCGAGTTATTGGAAGATGTGCTGTTATTACTCAGAGCTAATATGTTCTTTGTGCATGATGCCGCTCCACCACATTTCACTGTAAAGGTCCGGCAGTATCTGAACCAAAAATTCTCTCGACGATGGATTGGTAGAGGGGATAATTTCCTGTTAGCTGGTCTGAACGTTCACCAGACTTGACACCTTGCGACTATTATCTTTGGAGCACTCTGAAAACAACAGTGTATGCTTCAACATATTACACTAAAGAAGAGTTGTGGAAGCATATCCAAAATGCCATAAATGTT